GTCTCGGCTGCGAGCCTTGCCTCCGGACTTCCGGACTCTTTTGTGCTTTGCCTCGGTTTGCGAACCAGGCTCCGTTTTCTCTGTTTTCTCTTCCCGAAGGGAGGGAGAGGTCTCGTAGATCATCTCTCAGTGGCCGTAGGCTACGTTTCGTGGTCGTAGGCCATTTCGCCCGTTTGGAGTCCGGTTTTCGGTTTTTTAGGAGCCGTTGGCCGTGTGCCTCGGTTCGGGATCGCTTAACCACCTCCGTTTGCTCCGGTTTTTGGCATGCATCTTATTTGTTCCCTTTTTAGGGACACTGTGGCTTGAGAGACCAACTGCATGGTCGAACACCACTCCCGGTGCCAAACAGTCAGTTTTCGGGGCCTCGGGCTGCGCGCTTCGGCCCCCGAACCTTCATTTTGCATTGGTTTGGGTTCATTTTTAGAAGGGACCTCTGTTTCATTGTTGGGAAGGTCGTAGAAGGGTGGGAGGCCAGTAATTGTTCTGACAACCAATTTTATTCCTCCATCGCCCTCCGTTTTCTCTTCCCGAAGGGAGGGAGAGGTCTCGTAGATCATCTCTCAGTGGCCGTAGGCTATGTTTCATGGTCGTAGGCCATTTCGCCCGTTTGGAGTCCGGTTTTCGGTTTTTTCGGAGCCGTTGGCCGTGTGCCTCGGTTCGGGATCGCTTAACCACCTCCGTTTGCTCCGGTTTTTGGCATGCATCTTATTTGTTCCCTTTTTAGGGACACTGTGGCTTGAGAGACCAACTGCATGGTCGAACACCACTCCCGGTGCCAAACAGTCAGTTTTCGGGGCCTCGGGCTGCGCGCTTCGGCCCCCGAACCTTCATTTTGCATTGGTTTGGGTTCATTTTTAGAAGGGACCTCTGTTTCATTGTTGGGAAGGTCGTAGAAGGGTGGGAGGCCAGTAATTGTTCTGACAACCAATTTTATTCCTCCATCGCCCTCCGTCGCCCGTTTTTCTCACTTGAAAGCCAATGTTGACCACCCTAAGGCCACTTTTTCTTGCACCAAACCACATATTTGTGTTGTACACACCTGGGAGGCCACCAATATCACATGGCCAGCCAGTAATTCTGTGTGACCTTTTTGAACCCCTCATAAAAGTGGGCTTTTCTCTCTCCTGGTTTACTTTCTCCAGTTTTTGACTATATGGTTGTGTTGTGCACACATGAGAGGCCACCAATCTGGGGTGGCCGGCCACTAATCTTGATTGACCCTTTTGACCCTTGGCTGGCCGGCCATGGGGAGAGCCGGTCGGCCACCTACAACTTCAATAACCGGGCGGCCATGATCCCCTCTTCTGGTACATTACAGATATACATTCTGTTTCCCCCCAAATTTTGCATCCGGGGGGCTGCACTTTTGGGGGGAAACTTGAATTCTTTCCCCCCTATTTTCCCCCCTTTTCTCCTCCTCTTTTGCCTATATAACAGCAGCTCAAGTTCCCATCTGGGGGTTACAAAAATTTGCCCTAAGCCTCTTGCATTGATCCTCCCTCTTTTCCTCTTCCACGCACCAAAACCTCTCAAGTCCTACACCATTTACCCTACACCCCTTAGCACAAGGCCTCCACCCTCCATTCCAGCAGCTTCAAGGTCATTTCCAGAGGTCAAGAGCCACCAAACTTGGTCCAAAAGGCTGTCAAAGATTAGTCTTCAAGGGTAAGTCTCTTTCTCCTCCTCTTGGCTCTATTTTTGCATACAATCTAAGCTATACTTGATTACATTTTTGGGCTCCGACCCTAACTGAAAATAGTCATGTTTTGAGGTATTTTTTATGCTTGATTAAGGGTCCTTCCCTGTTTAAGGGCTCCAACTACCACTTGCTTCTTTACCCCTCTTGTATACCTCTTTCTTGCATAGTATTTTAGGCCTATTTGTAAACTGTTTAGAGGCATGTTGTAAACTGTAAAGTGGCCTATTTTGAGCCTTTATTCAACATTGTTGAAGGGATCTTCACTGTTTGAGGCTTCCATATGTCATTTGCCTCTTTATCTCTCTTTTGGCCTAATTTTTTCATGTTTTGTTAGCCCCTTGTTCTTATATTTTTGGGCTCTGGTCCGAACTGTAAATAGACATATTTTGACCCACTCTTCATGTTTTATCAAGGGTCTTTCATTGTTTGAGGCTTTCTTTTTGCTTTTTGTGTTTAAACCTCTTTTTAGGCCTCATTTTGCATAGTATTTTAGGCTTGCATGTGCACTGTTTTGGGTTTGATCATAAACTTTGAAACACCATATTTTGATCCTCTCTTCAACTTTGTTGAAGGGCCCTCCTCTTTTTGAGACCAACAACCATCACTTGCTTCTTTGTCCCCCTTTTGGCCCATTTCTTGCACAATAGTTTATCCATACTTGTGTTTATTTTCGTGGCTTATTGTAAAATTTAAAGTGCTTCATTTTGAGACCCTCTTAAACTTTGTTGAAGGGATATTGGCCATTTAGAGCCAGCAGCTGCTACTTGCTTCATTATCTCTCTTTTGGGGCCATTCTTGAATGCTAGCTTAGTCCTATTTGTGTCCCTTGTTTGGCCTTGATTAAAACGGTAAATATTCTTTTTTTGGGTCTATCTCGATTCTTTCTTCACACTTCATGTTCAAATAATGCATGTTTTGTATAGCTATAGGTCATTGCGCATGCCTAATTTTGAGTTTCGGGGTTCGTCTAATGCATCGGGTGCCATGTTTCCATGTTTCGGGATCATTTTACATCACATTCCAGCGCTGAAATTTTCATGCTAGTATGCCATATTCCATGCCTTTCCATATCTTGTTAGGGCGGCATTTGGTACCTTAGGGTCGATCCTCGATTTGCGTGCACGTGAGCACGCATTTCGAGTTGTCTCATTTTCATCGTATGGCTACTGATGTGAGTGTGGCTGAGGTCCACTCATGTTAGTGTAAGTCCATTATCATTGTGTATGCCATTTCATTTTTATGCATTGTGTATGCTAGGTTGTATGTTAGCGCATTGTGTATGCCATGTTACCTCGTGCATCGTGTATGCCATTTCATAGCATTGTGCATGCTAGGTTATATACTAGTTGCATTCATGCATGTCATGCATATTGCATTGTGCTTGGGATAGGAGTTAGCCCGAGCATGGGAAACGAGGGACATTTTGTACTTCGAGTGACGAAACGTGTCTCAATTCCCAATCACCGACACTCCGGATTATCCATGATGGAGTTTAGGTTTTGTTTTGTTTACATGTGCGTTCATTTCATATTGAGTCGTGCAATTCGACTCCTCGGCCATCATGCATCTAGATGCGTGATTGGTGGCACGAGGATCGAGGCATGCATACCTTTGTGAAAATACATTGCCATGCCCTTTTCCTGCTCTCTGTTGCAGCAAATCAAGAATCAGTAGCCTTTCAAAGGCCTTGCACAGCATTCCGGCATCAATCGCAAACAGAGGTTAATTGGGGCATCGTAGTGGATTTCCGTGCCAAGCATCCCGAGCATGCATCATCCATCATTCGGAACAGAGTCGAGGCAGTCCCTGGCTTGCATGCCAATTTATTGCTTTCCTAATTTAATTTGTTAATTAATTAGGGTTTTGTACATATTTGGACTGTAATTATTTGGGACTGCATATTATTTATTCGGACCCTCCGAGCGAGGGCACAACTGTAATAAGTGTGCATGTGTGTGATGTATGTCTTCCAACCCCACGTCTTTCTCCCTTTTATTTACCCGCTTATGAATGTTAGATAGGGCATGTTTTAATAGCATATAGTATGATAGCAATGTTGCATTCATTCATCGTTTTGCATGCACCTGGGCTCGGCGCATCTACTAACTGCATTATATTTTCAATTCCATTGAATACATGTTAGCTGTAGCATTTATATGCCATGTTTAGAATAGCCGAGCCTGCTATAGTTACTTTTTGCATGTGTTGCATTAGATTTCTGTATAGTTAGGATCATGCATGGATTTCTAATTAGCTTCTGTTTGGCTTGGAGTACTCGGTAAGTTATGCTTTAGCATCCTTGCATGCGTGTGAGTGACTGCATGAATAGCATGCTACCATGAAGCTAATTGCTTAGTGATATAACTGCCTGAATGCTGTGGGTGAAGGTTAGGTATTTAAATTGGAACAATTCATCAAATGCGTGTTTTAAGCCCACTAGATAGTGGCAAATCGTTGTTTCTAAGCCCACTTGAGGGTGGCAAATCCACGTCTTAGCCTACTTGCGGGTAGCACCATCAAACCATTTTCAAAATAAACAAACATGAAATGTTTTGTTCCAATCAGACGATCCAGTCTATACTTGTATGCTGTGCGCTCACATAGTAAATCTAGGCTAATAACCGAAAAAGAACGCGATAATGTTTTCAAAATAGATATCATGGTTAGTAGAGGCCGACTTTGATCGGCGAGCGGGGGTGCTCACGAAGTGACCTTCCCAATCGTACCCAAGTTCCGAGCCGAGGCAACTTTGATGATGACGGACACGTGGCCTTAGGCAAACGAGTCAGGGTTTCTAAAATTTCCCCAAAATAAAATATTTAGGTGGCGACTCTGTATCTGGCAAAGCAGTCCATGTTTGGCACTTCTTTCAAAATCTGTTTTCTCAAAACGATTTGCCGGATTTGGACTCTTTGGTTCAGATTTAGAACCGTGACAATTTTAGAGTCCTGAACTGTAGTGAGCCCAATATCGAACGGAACGGGGGACTCGTTCCTCCCGGGGGCGTTCGGGGACGTCTACACCCATGTTGACCTAACATATGGCCAACCCCATTTTTCTTTCACCGCAAAAGTCAATTTCAACCAATGGTTTTCATGCGCATCATATTTATCAAGCATTTCCGCCCACTCTAACTTCCATTGATTTGCATCTTCAATGTCAAAGAAGAACTTATTTAGTACACCATTTACCCCCTTATCTTAGAATAAACAATTAACATGTTTTAATTCATTTTGCATCAAATGTCAAGTATACAAACGGTGACTTGTGTCAGGCATAACGATGGGTATGGCTTTAGCCATTACAACAATTGATTAGTGAACAACGTTTTCGGTGCCTTTCCTGACATAGCCTCTAGAAAATTTTGAAACAACCATACAAACGTTTCGGCGGTCTCATCATACAACAAGGCTGCACCAAATATAATTGTTTCCCTATGATAGTTGAGTCCCACAAAAGACGCGAAGGGTCTATGTTCTTTGTTTAACTTGTAAGTAGTATCAAAAGTGACAACATCACCAAATTGGGCATAATCCATGATCATTTGTGCATCAGCCCAAAACATATTCGTTATTTGCTCTTCATTATCTAACTGGAAAGCATAAAAGAAGGAAGGATTCTGCATAGATTTTTCTTTAAAGTATTGTAACACATTGCCTACTTCCCCATATGCTAAACTTTGTTGTCTTTTGGTTCTCAAATAATTTTTTTGATCCAATTTTGTAAACCCAAGACATTGCCTCCCACCAGCTTCCCTACCCATGAGGTCAAAAGACTGGCCTAAACGAAGACCAGATTGTGCCGCCAAATCTAACTCAATGGCTTGGGTAGTTGATATCTTTCTTTGTGACGGCAACATGTGGGCACACTCGGGTGATACAAGATCATGGTTGTGTTTTTCTTTGAAATCAGTCACAACATATTTCCCAGTACCCTCATCTAATTTGACATACCCTCATCTAATTTGACATAAAGTCGAGCCTTCCTAGTTTCAACTCTAGGGTTTTTTGACAATAGGTCTCGTTTGTCACCCTTCTGAAATCCCTCCTTGTTGCAAACCAAAAGTCTACAACTAAGTTGGTTGGTGATCTTGTTCTTCCTACAAAAATCCCTTCTTATGCTAAACCCCATTCTTCCTCCATATATATTATAAAAATCATACACACATTGTTCATAATCGAATGTCATTCCCTGTTTTAGCTTCCAAGCACAATCATTCTCAGGTTCCATATCTATATGAAAATGCAACTGAAAACCCATATAAATAAAATCTTAGCTACATAAATAAAATCTCAACATAGGCAGAATAATGCATCTTCGCAACAGTATCCATTATATATCATCCATTTTAGAAAGATACAGCAACAGATCATCTATGATGGATATATAATGGACATATATAATAAAATCTAAAAAATTCATCACATTCCAGTAATGAACTACAGCTTCAAAAATGAACTACTGACGAAAAATCACATGACTAATTAAATAAATTAGTGATATATGTTCACATGATTGAACTACAGCTTCTAAATTAGTGATATCTCTAAATTAGTGATTAAATAAATTAGTCATATTTGTTCACATGATATCTGTTCACATGACTGAAAAATCAAGAATGAACTACAAATACCAGATATGTGATTAACAGAATGAACTATATCTGTTTATATATCTGAAAATTAAATACCAGAATGAACAGATACCAGATATGTGATTAACATAATGATATCTGAAAATTACCTGGTATTTGTTATCTGTTCACAAATGGATGATCTGAAAATTGTTATTTGTTATTTGTTATCTGTTATCTGAAAATTACCTGATATGTGACTGAAAAATCAAGAATGAACTACAGCTTTTAAATTGATATCTGTTCACATGACTGATTAAATAAATTATAGCTTCAAGAATGAACTACTAACGAAAAATCAAAAAAAATCCACAAAAACCCAGAAATGAAAATTAATTTTAAAAAAAAATTGAAGATTGTGGCCGAAAACTAAAGAATTTTATACAAACACAAATGAACCTGTTAATGATTTACAGAGACAAATGAACATGATAAATTTGTATAAAAAACCATGAACTTGTTAATTTACAGAGACAAAGGGGAACTGACCTATGGTTTCACCGTCGTTAGTCCTTGCAACGGCGTGGAGACTGGGTAGGCTGGGTCGCCGCCGATATTGGGTCGCCGTCTGGGGTGGGTTTGGACAAGAACCAACAAGTGTGTGTTGAATGAGTGTGTGTTGTCGTGTTTCCCCACGAAAATCTGAAACCAACGTTGTGTTTTGTTTTGGGCGGGAAGAATCAAAATTTTTATTTTTATTTTTTAATCTCAACCATTGGATGTGCAACTGCTGATCTCAGCCGTTGCAAGGACGCTCACAAGTATGGCTTACAAGGAGAGGATCTGAACTCATAAATCACACCAACATATGATGTGAATGCTGACAATGAATAGTTGTCATTTTTCACTCCACAACAAAATCGTCCAAAAATCAATGAAACATGCCATATACTAAAAAATAGCATTCCAAATTTTACCTAATAAATGTGGTAGAATACATAGATTTAATGTTAATGGAATGTGAGTAACACTTGTACTTGTTGGGAAATTGATTATTTTAATTTTTTTAAACTTAGAGTGATATGATAATTTGTTATGAATTTTTAACTTTTCGACTAAAATAACTTATTAATAAATGAGGCCTTATAATTGTGATTTATAATACATTTTAGTGTTTTTTAACTTAGAGTGATATGATAATTTGTAATGAATTTTTAACTTTCCGACTAAAATTACTTATTAACAAATGAGGCCTTATAATTGTGGTATATAATACACTTATTAAGTGCTTGTTTGGTATCATCTAAAAAAGATAAAAAGTTAAAAAGTCACTAAAAAAATAAAAATGTTTATACAATGTTTTTTTATGGAAATGGAACTGAGTACTCAGAGGGAAAAAAGACATTTTTACCCTCCAATAACAGCTCACAACTGTTTAAGGAAGAAAAAAAAAAAGAAGTCAAACAATACAAGGGCAGCTCAGTGCACTGTGAGAGAGGAGAAGTCACAAGTGACAGTGCTCAGCGCACTGTCGGGAGTAAGAATGTAATTTTAGTGTTTTATATATTATTTTAATACATATTTTTTCATAAAATTTTAAAAAAATTATCCCAAATAACTTTTTTTTCTCTACTTTTTTAGTCAAAAATTCAAAAATACACTTATATAGTTTATCCTAAATAATCCCTAAAAATAATTATTAGGGATTGTTTGGAGATAAGTTATTTTAATAATTTTTTAATTTTTTTTTATGAAAATATAAATAGAAAAGTAGAGAATTGATGTGACTCAAAAAAGATAAAAAGACAGAAAGTATGCTATTTTAATAGTATCCCAAACAACCCCTTCTTGTTTTGACCTCGTTTGGGAAAGTATTTTAGTTAAAAAGTCACTATAAATTATCAAAAAAATAGAAAGAGTGATGTGATAATTTATGGTGACTTTTTAACTAAATGTTTAATCCCCCACACGAGGGGAATGGCTCATCTCCGTACTTTATACTCTATACTTTATTGGAAAATGTTTGGTAACTCAAAATTTTGTGGCTCAAATGACTCAAATTTGTCAAAACGACGTCGTTTTACACTCATTTACACTCAAAATGACATCGTTTTGAGTGATTTGAGCCATTTGAGCCATAAAATTTTGAGCTACCTAACATTGTTGTACTTTATTTTTTGGGCTCCATTCTAGACTCATATTAATAATCTAAACCGTTCATCTTATTAGATATATCAATAAATTCTATCTTTTTTTATTTTTTAAATGGACAATAATTGTAAGTTTCAAATTAAATATTTCATTTTGTAAAATAAAAAATAATTTATTTATATATTTATCGATATTCGATGAAATTAATTTTTTGTACAGATAATTTTTATTATGAGACTTATAAGGTTACCGATTTAAATTATTAATATAAACTTTAAAATAAAATCCAAAAAATAAAAAATAAGAAATTATAGAGGATAAGAATATTGGGGGCCATACGAGAGGGGCTTATCGAAAATCAATTCCACTTTTGCTAGCACGTCTTCCAAGAATGCCAGCCGAATTGAGACGCATTCACGTGATTGATCAGGACAGACACTTCGATGGTCCCTATTCATGAATGACGCGAGGTCGAACCCACTTGAGGCAAAAACGTGGACGGCCTACTGATTCCGTCCCAAACTATACGGCCAAGCCAACTAGTTATAAACCACGGGCATAATTGCATGCTATAGAATTCATTTTTAGTCAAATTAATTTGAAAATATGAAGAAAAAATAAATAGAATTTTGATATATTCTTGTCATGTCAAAATAGTTTTATATTTATGTTTGGACAAATTACTAATACCCTCCAGATTTGATTAAAATAGAAATTTTTCCTTGAGTTTTGAGAAGTTACATTTCGCTCTTAAGATTTTTATTTACATAATAAATTGTCTTTTGAAATTTATATTTACATAACAAATTGCTTCTTCATTTATTATGTAAATATAAATTTCAGGAGGCAATTTGTAATTTCTCAAATTTCAAGGGGAATTTGTATTTTAATCAAATATCAAGGGATATTGATAGTTTGCCCTTTATGTTTATATATTTTAATCAGTAATGATTCAGACCCCCACAAAATATCACTCCCACAATCCTCACTCACTTGTGATTGATCCAAGTAAGAAAGAGAAAAAAAAAATAATAATAATAATACAAACACATTATTAGTCCAAATCACTGTGCGGGTGGTGGGGTCTCCCCAAAAAAGGGTCTCAAACATTATTGCATTTTAATATATGTGTATTCTCCTCGAGACCAATGACAACTTGTTACTCGCACTAGGGGCTGAAGATTTGTTTGGGGTGTGGGTTGATTTTTAGTTATTTTAGCCTGAACTTAAAAAGTCTTGTTTTAGATAGATTTTTTGGCTTTTCAACTTTTGTGGAAAAAAAAATTATTATGATTTACATGTGACATTTTATTTTATTTAGTTAAAAAATCTATTTTATTTTTTTATAACTATTATAGTTAAAAAAATCTCATTTTAACTTATGTCAAATGAAAGCAAAAGAGAGGAGACTAGGGTGCGATGCCCCAGCAAAGTTGAGAAACTATATTAATCTCTATTATTACATAATAAATTGTCTTTTGAAATTTATATTTACATAACAAATTGCTTCTTCATTTATTATGTAAATATAAATTTCAGGAGGCAATTTATAATTTCTCAAATTTCAAGGGGAATTTGTATTTTAATCAAATATCAAGGGATATTGATAATTTGCCCTTTATGTTTATATATTTTAATCAGTAATGATTCAGACCCCCACAAAATATCACTCCCACAATCCTCACTCACTTGTGATTGATCCAAGTAAGAAAGAGAAAAAAAAAATAATAATAATAATAATACAAACACATTATTAGTCCAAATCACTGTGCGGGTGGTGGGGTCTCCCCAAAAAGGGGTCTCAAACATTATTGCATTTTAATATATGTGTATTCTCCTCGAGACCAATGACAACTTGTTACTCGCACAATAGGCTGAAGATTTGTTTGGGGTGTGGGTTGATTTTTAGTTATTTTAGCCTGAACTTAAAAAGTCTTGTTTTAGATAGATTTTTTGGCTTTTCAACTTTTGTGGAAAAAAAAATTATTATGATTTACATGTGACATTTTATTTTATTTAGTTAAAAAATCTATTTTATTTTTTTATAACTATTATAGTTAAAAAAATCTCATTTTAACTTATGTCAAATGAAAGCAAAAGAGAGGAGACTAGGGTGCGATGCCCCAGCAAAGTTGAGAAACTATATTAATCTCTATTATTGTGAGAAACTACATTACCTATTAGTAAGTAGTTCCTATAATTATACTATCAAAAATATATGATGATCATACTATCTTATTATATTTTGTTTGATAAATTTATAATATAGTGGGAGGTACCCAAAAAAATTACCAAGAGGTGGAAATCTTTTGAGAGTGCAATTCTTGCTGTGTGTTTTTGCGCACACATGAACAAAAAGAAAAAGAAAAAAAAAAAAAAAAAAAAAAGAGTTATACTCCCATAATTTTGTAAATATTTCTAGTTAAATAGATTGCATTGTAATTTTCCATCATTAGTTTGATATCGATGTGAAAAAAAATACTTATACCATCCCTTTTTGATTTTT